TGATAGCAATGACAATTTACATGCATAAATTTATTCAAGACCAAAGTTTATGCAGAAATTTCTGAATTTCATTTCATAAACTCCGCGAATGTGGCTCTCCCATCCGCAAATCACATATGAAGCTCTAATTACTTTAATAACTTTTACAAAGTTTTTATAGGCAGTCAGCAAAAACAGAATTAATATTTTCCACATACACACACAAACTTACACATATAACCTACTCAACACACACACACTTAAAAGCAATGAAATGCAGTGCAAAAATATTCCGCGAACGCCAGATGTAGAATACATAAAAAGCCTAGACCGTGGTGTTGAGGTTAAAAATAAACGCTGCACAAATCGTAGGCTGGCAAACTTCCTTCGCTCTTCACTCTGTGTGTGTGTCATGTCGCACGTGGAAAAGCAATTATTTTTAGCAGGACATTTCGAACACGCACACACACCCAAACAAATATGTATGCATTAATGCCTGTAGTGGTGGGATTATGAGTAAGGTATAAAACAAGCACACCACTCACGAAATGGACAGCAGCTAGGATATAAAATATTATATATTTTTACGATTGATATAGTTGCAAGGACGAAAAATATATTCGTTAACCTAAGTGTACAAATGTGCATGTATACAAGAGGACAACATTGTCATGCTGACCGCAGTTTTCGTCTGTGTAAACTGTTGCATGTCCTGCAGCCGTTGTCGCTAGCGCCGCTTTACAAACCCACTGCGTTCGGCGGCTGGGCAATAAGTGAGCAGCAATAAATTTTTTTTTATACTTTATACACACATTTTGCTTGCTCATTGAGTACGAGTATGTGTTTCTGTGCGCTCGTGTGCCTGCGCCTCGCTGTCTGTGTCTGCTGACCGAAAATAGCGAAGCCAAAATGTTCGCTCTGATAATTGACATTTATTGTTTTCTGGCTTCGTATACCTGCCTGGCATGTTAAATACAAAAACAAATAAATAAATAAATTCGTGCTCGCTTGCGTCGAAAACGTAAAATAACATGTAAACTAATAAATGAAAATGGAGGTAAAAACTATGGTGCTACCTCACCCAACCGCTGCTAGCGAATTTTAGTATCAACAAGCGAATTTTGTGAGTTTAAAATTTCTTCGCAAGTGTTGCATTTTATGGCATGAAATTGTTAAGATATTTTTTTTCTTAGTTTTGATAGCTGTGCAGTACAGTATAAGTATACAAATTTTAGTACGCAATACTACTTATTTTTGAGTTTCGACGAAATTTTGCGTACTTAACTCACCAAAACTTTTAAAATTAATTTTTGAAAGCACAGAATTTGTTAATGTGCAAATAACGTAAGCTATTTAATGTTTTCACACAAAAAAACAAAAGTTTTGTAATTAGACACTAAAAAATTATTTGTAAAATTTTTTTTGTACAAAATTTAAATCTCTGGTATACCAAAAACACAACAAGTGATTTTTGTTGGTATAAAATTTCTACGCGACTTTTGCATTTTAAGGCATTAAATTGTTAAGATATTTTTTTGTTACTTTGATAGCTGTGCAGTACAGTATAAGTATACAAATTTTAGTACGCAATACTATTTTCGAGTTGTCGATGAAGTGAAGTGCACACTGACCAAAACTTTTAAAATAAATTTTTTAAAGCATAGATTTTTTTTATAATTTGGGAATAAAGTAGATCATAAAAATAGCGATATATTAAACTATCCTGACCTAGTTTTTACTACCCAAACTAAATTTTACTTTAACCGGAAATATAATGTCTTTTCCACTAATTTTTAGTTCTAAAATTTAATACAAAAAACGTTTGAACATTTAGCATATTTTGTATACCAAAAAGATAGTAATTTAATACTTTTTTCGTGCATAATGCAAAATCTTGCATACAATTTTTAGTACAAAATTGCAGTAAATATTTTCTCAACTCAAAACGCTTTTTGTTTTTTTTTGAATTTTTGAGAAAAATTTTACACTTATTTTCTTAACCGACTTCGAAAACAGGAGGAGGTTATCAGTTCGTCGCAATATTTTTTTTTTTTTTTTTTTAATTTAATTTTTTTTTATTTTTTATGTACCACGCCAACCGATTCGATAATTCTTTTTGCATCGGAAAGGTAGTATCTCAGAGGTGGTCCGATACTAATCTGGTTTAGATCCGATTATTTGACTATGAAATATATATATAGAATTAGAGTCGGTTTTGTTTTTTAAAAAATTACTTGCTTTTTTTAGTGTAAACTTTTGATAGAGATAAATATGTAAATTTTAAACATTATATGGTTCAGTAAATTTAAGTATATTTTTATGCAAAAACTAAATGTTTTTTTCGAAATTTCTTTTTGTATATTTTAGGCAACTTATATATATATACATTTTTTAAATTGTATAGTACTCCGTAAGAGGAGTAATAGTAGTAGAAGTAGTACTGGTAGCAGCAGCAGTTTAATATAGTAGTAGTTGTGGTGGTAGTAGTAGTAATTACAAAAGCAGTAGTGGTGGGAGTTGTAGAGTATTAAGCCTAGTAAATAGTAATCGAATTTTAGTGGCAGTGGTAGTAGTTCTTAGTAGGAGTACACGTAGTATTATCAGTAGAAGTAGGGTTAGAAATAGTAGCAGTTGTAATAGTAGCAGTAATAGTAGTAAGTTAGCTAAAGTAGTTCTTTTTAACAAATTTGTACAGTGAATTTTTATACCCTCATTTATAGTTTTGAATAATTTTAATTGCGGTTTTCAACGAATTGTTTTTGTTTTTTCATATAAAAAATGCATTTAATAAAAAAAGTACAAGTACGTACTCAAAAAAGTTTTTTTCTTTACGAAAATAATATGCCCAGGCTCAAGAGGTTCTGAGTTCAGAATTTTTAGCACTTAAAATAGTTTTTTAAGCCAATTTCNCATAGTAGTAGTTGTGGTGGTAGTAGTGGTAATTACAAAAGCTGTAGTGGTGGGGGTTGTAGAGTATTAGGCCTAGTAAATAGTAATCGAATTTTAGTAGTAGTAGAAGTATTAGTAGTTATTTGGAGTAGTAGCAGCAGTAATGGTGGCAGTGGTAGTAGTTCTTAGTAGGAGTACTAGTAGTATTATCAGTAGAAGTAGGGTTAGAAATAGTAGCAGTTGTAATAGTAGCAGTAATAGTAGTAAGTTAGCTAAAGTAGTTCTTTTTAACAAATTTGTACAGTGAATTTTTATACCCTCATTTATAGTTTTGAATAATTTTAATTGCGGTTTTCAACGAATTGTTTTTGTTTTTTCAATATAAAAAATGCATTTAATAAAAAAAGTACAAGTACGTACTCAAAAAAGTTTTTTTCTTTACGAAAATAATATGCCCAGGCTCAAGAGGTTCTGAGTTCAGAATTTTTAGCACTTAAAATAGTTTTTTAAGCCAATTTCCTGTTAAACAATTTTTGTGATAAATTTTTTAGTAACGACGCGTACATGTTTAGTACTCAAAGTTTGGAATTTTTTTATTAAATTATATGCACTGTAATTTTTTTATTGAAAAAATAAAATTAAGCCTTCCAGTCTGTACTAAAATATTTAAAAAATTAATTTTGAAAATTATTACTTAAGGAACCCCAGCTTGAAATTCAGTACGGATTAAATTTTTGATTGATAATATTTAAATTCTAACCCTTTTTAATGCAAACCTTTTTCTTTGTTGAATTTGTTACATTACATAGGTATTAAAAATTTAATTTTCTTATTGAAAAAAAAACTCTAAAAATACATGCATTTTGTTGCAAAGCTTATAAGTGCTAAAAATGTACTTAAAACCTTCAAAAATCCTTTCGTTATTTGATTTGATGTAACATTTTTACTACATAAAATTAGTACTAAAATTATTAATACTTTATTAACCGAGTTTTTAAAGTTTTAATTTAACGAAAAAAAAAATTCAAAAAGAGTAAAATATTGGTATACAGCTAAAAACCTGGTAAAAAATATTTTTCTATATTTCGTTAGATACTTTATCTCAAAAGTTAGTGCATAATAAGTTTTGATAAGTAATAATAACATATATCACAATTTTCCTATTTTTATTACAAATTAAATTTATCACAAGATTTTTATACAGTTGCATCGAATTTTGAGTACTTAAAATTTAGTAATATTCTGTTTTTTAAGCATTCCTAATCGAAATTTAGTGCGTACTTAATTCAATTTGTCCAGAAATATAAATTCATTTATAATTATAAATAATTAATTTTTTTGAAAAAGAAAATGTATCTTAACAAATTGCGAATTTCTATAAAAGTTTAATTAATAGATCTTGTGCAACATCCTTTTGTTCTAAAATAATGCAAGATTTTGTTTGGTTTTCATTTTAATTTAGAACCAGTTAGTAAAATTTTTTTAAACAAATTTTGTGGAAAAGTTGAATGCACAGTAATCTAAGTAAACACTAGAGTTCATATATCGGTTTTGTAAAAAAATTAGTACAATATGAATTAGTGCTAAAAATTCATCGAACATTTTAATACACAGTAAATTAATTAAACATTTAAATTCAAGCTATGGATTGTTTGCAAAAATACGAATTTTTAGAACATTTTGTTACGAGAAAAAAAGTTTGTAAAAAAAATAACAGTCAGTAAACTAAATAAGCACTCAATGCCAATATATCAGAATTTTGTAAAAAAAAAATAGTTGATTAGTACTAAAATTTTCAATATAAGCCTCGTCATGTTACTACAGATATTTAAAGGAAAAAATTTTACTATTTTTAGTTTCCACTCACTCAACTTTGACCGTTATTTCGTTTAGGCCATGAGCGTGAAACCCTCAAACGAAAAGATCCAGCATCCCCAACCACAATATTTACTCAAACACACAAAACTGCACGATTGTTTGGGTTATCAGTTGGAAGTGATTTTAAGGTTCTCATCAGTCACAGTCAAGCGATAAGCTTAAGTGATAATTCAGCAGAATTCAACATTAAATCAATTCGCGAAAGCTCGCATAGGTCCATGACAATCAAGCGAAATAGGCAGCGTAACTTGGCGATAGTCTCGCCTTATCACCTACGCCTTGGAGAATTTCAAAAACATTCAGCGACTTCAGTGCAAATCTGTGCTTAAAAGTGAAATGTCGTTGGAGACGCTCGGAATAGGACAGCGCGCGATAATTTACTCCTTTCTAACATTGCTAGTAGTGCAGCTCGAAAAACCCGGCGCCCATGCCGTAGCAACCACCCCGAATGAAGGTCGCACAACAACAGACGCCGCAGAGGAGAACACCAACACTAAACCCACCAGCGCGCCCAGCAGCGCTGAGTCGCCTCAGTGTCCAGCTGACTACTGGCCCCGTCAGCTGGACACAATGCGCAGTTATGTGGATGAAATAGCTTGGCCTTGCGATGATTTCTACGAGTACGCTTGCGGCAATTGGCGCGCGCCATATCAATTGCGCGTTCGCGGCGCACATGACACACTGACCTCTGTCAAGGCGGACAACAAGCAACAGCTGATGACGTATTTGCTGGAGAAGCAAGAGGGGGTGGTGCAAAATAGTACGCGTCAAGCTACTCTGCCTCGAAGAGAGGAGGTCGCCGTACGTTTCTTCAACGCCTGCATTGAGCGCGCAACTGGCGAAGATGGCGACAGCAGACACGTGCATTTCAATGTTGAGGCAGCAACGCACCGCACATACACCAACGAGCTGCGACAGTTGAGTGATTGGCCAGTGCTCAATCCCAATTGGATGGCGACCGAAGCGAATGACAGCCTCAGTTGGGGTATCTACTTAAACGCAGAGCTACGCCGTTATGGCGTGCAGGCACTCTGGCGTTTGCTAATCACCACCAATTGGCAGCAGGCTGAGCAGCAAATTTTCTACATTTCCGCGCCAGCGTTCGATTTACTCAAGCCGACGCGGCAATCGGTGCGGTATGATAGCGACTCGGAGTATGTTTATAAGCGTTATGTGAAATACCTGATGCTGGACTTGGGTGTGCGCGTGCGGCGCGCGCAAGTCATTGCCGAGGAAGTGGTTGATTTTGAGAAACAGCTTTTCGAATTGGTCGCCAGTGAGCGATTGGTTTTACTGCGCGCGCCACAAACTTTGGCAGCATTGCAAGCTGAAGTACTAGAGCTGAACTTAGGCAAGTATTTCGTGGAAGTACTGCGCGACATAGCACACCAGTTGCCGCGGGACTACGAGCAGCGCTTGTTGATTGTGGCAGATGTACCATATTTGCGTCAGTTGGGCGCGCTACTGAAACGCACCAAACCCGAGTTGTTGGCTAAGTATCTGTTGGTACAATTTCTGGCGCATTTTGAAGTGCGTCTTCACGATGAGGATAGCTTCCATGAGCAGCGCGATCACTGTCTGCAGCAGCTGCACACTTTTCTGCCAGCCGAACTGTCAGAAATTTTCATGCTTCTACAACACGCTGATGGCGATGCTGTTGCCTCTATGACGCGCACACAAACCGCCTTGAATGACATCTTTGCGCAGCTGAAACTGCAATTCGAGCGCATGCTGAATGCCACTAACGTCTTCGAGCGCGATGCGCACGGCAGGCAGCTTGGGTTGGAAAAACTGCGCGCCATGCGTCTGCTCTTGCCACAAGCAACTGGTTTCAGCAAGGATCATTTGCCGCCCAGCATTCAACTTGGGGATGACTACGACGCGAATTTGATGACTTTATGGCGCTGGCGCACACGCAAGCAACTACACGAAATACTAGAAACGCTGCTGACCGGTCGTAGTGCGCCGCCAGCATACAACAGCTACGGTCCTTTAGATGTGAACGCCTACTATCGCCTGAAGAAGAACGCCATTGAGCTGCCGGTTGGCATACTGCGCGCGCCCTTCTACAACAGTTGCCTCGACTCGGCGAAGATCTACGGCAGTTTTGTCTACATCATTGCGCACGAGCTGATGCATGGCTTTGACTACGATGGGCTCAACTATGATATGTCAGGCAATACTGGCAGCGATGTGAGCGCAAAAGTTATCATCAGATTTGGCACCAAGTCGCGTTGCTATCTTAGCGAACGTTATGTGGATGGTGAAGTGACGTTGAACGAGAATATCGCTGATACGGAGGGTTTACGGCTGGCTTTGGAGACCTTCAGACGCACTGGTGGCGAGAATGCAACTTTAAGCGCAGAACAGTTGAAGCTGTTCTTCTTGAGTTTTGCGCAGACTTGGTGTGGCACTAGTGCCGCGAACGGGGAGAGTCTACACGATGAGCATAGCGTGCGCGTGAACAATGTGGTGAGCAACTTTGCGGAGTTCACGCAAGCCTATCGATGTGAGCCGCACAACGAAATGAATCCGGCAGAGAAATGTGTTATATGGTGAATTAATTGTTTGAGAATTGAGTATGTAAATGCACTTAATAATAGAAATAAAAAATGTACAAAAGTCTGATGAAATTCATTGACTTTGGATATCCATAAATGAGTTTGTTCTTTTGTTTTCAAAAGAGGAAAGGAAAGTCCCTCAACATCAAAGTTTTCACGTTTGCGGTTAGTTGCTTAACAAATAGTACGCCGAAAATTATGCAAACTTTCCTGCTGCAGTTTTTATTTACCCCGTTCATCATCTCGTTCGCCACTTAGCAATAATAGTCCCTTATACACTTCTCAAATGGTCTATGAAGAAATTTATTTGTGATACAAGTTGAAAAAGCTCTTTGTCTACCCGGCAACGCAATTCAGGAAATAGCAAGTCCACTTTGTTGTGCTGAAATAAAATTAGCTGACAGAATCATACAAACTGTGGTTCGCATTCATAAAGCTTCTCCTGGCCTAGCTAAACTTGTTCAACATACTGGCAGGCATAAAAAAATAAGCAAAATACTCTTGATCTTAGATCGTGGTTCGGACTTGGCCCGCCCTATTGGTCAAAGTTTCAAACGAAGTTAGGCTTAACAGACTGAATTTCTAGAATTATACACTAGCATTCCGTGAGCAAGCTTTCTGCAACATAGGCCTTATAATGGCACTTTTTACTTCCCCTTCTCAACCGTAGCGTATCGGACCGTGAAGGCTTCGATGGCTAGGCTGGCGTGCGCCACTGCCTCAAAACCATGTTTAAGACAACAACCACTTTCAAAGGAAACTTCTGTCAACGCAGATCAACCACTACAGTGCATTCCGAGTTCTTTCATGGAATAGAAGCTCAGTTAGAGGACTGCCATTGAATGGCAAAAGGCAATCCGATCAACGAGGTGTGGTTGTGGTTGCTTCAGAATGGGTAGACGGTATTGGAGTGCGTGTTTGAGTGACGCTTGCTTCAGAAATCGTTGATTTAGTCATAACAGATTTGGAGAGCCAATTTTGATGTCTTTCTGAGGAAGAGTATGAAACGACGATTTTTATGAGTTCAGAGCAGACTCCAGAAGAGCCATCTTTCCCCAGTTTGTGTACTGCGATTATACAACATGGGAAAATGTGAGAACCAACTCTCTAATCTCTTTCTGTGAAGATCTTGATGAGCATGCCTAGTTGAGTGATACCTTAACATATCAGAGGATTTTTAGATAAATTAAAAAAATGTTTGAGTTAATCTGAGACAAAATTCTTTGGTGTCACTATTTCATAAGGGCCCAGAGACCTCTTTTTTCAGGCTAGTCCGAAGTAGAACTCCAATATATCATTATTTCTTAAGATCTCGGAGATCTTTCAGATGCCTTAATTCCTATGGACGAGCAGTGTTCTAAGGCATCACTACTTCTCAAGATATCGGAGACCAATTTAGTTGCCTTTAATTTATTTGGATAAGTCAGAGGTAAAATTCCAGGGTATCACTAGTTCTTAAGACCGCATAGATCTTTTAAACACTGCGGTTTTATAGCTGTGGTAGCCAAATGATGGATGCAAAAAAAAGCTCCTTATCTGATACCGCAGGCCATCTGGACTGAAACTTTCGTATAAACCATATTATAGTGGTTCTGGTTAGCGATTAAGACTACGAAAAGATCTTATCCGGCTACTCATCTGCTATTGATTATCTGCGTCTATAATGCTTAGCATAGTAAATTTTGATAACGTCACCTAAAAATATGCAATCACCCATGTTGGAAAATTTAATGAACATAATAACATCTATACAATTAGCGTATACAAAAAATATTCAATTTTAAGCATTAAATTTAATTTTGCTAAAATCATTGGACTGCAAGCGATTTGACAACACACAATCAGAAGAAAATGCTTAAAATAATTAAAATTCGCGAAATATGCATGTATTTAAAAACGATACGGCACTGCAAAATTATGCAGCATACATTTAGGATGTAAATAAGCAAATTTAAATTTACCTATTCACAAGCGCACACACAAATCCAGACGCGCGCTGACACGAAAACAATTTCACACAAACGTGAATAGTAGTAACACCATTAAATGAACATAAATATTAATTAAGTCGCACTTTGAGCGCTTGCATTATTAAAACAAATGACGGAATTTTGGTTTTCACAAATTTTATTTTCAATGCTGTTTAAAATCTATGTATGTAAAATTAATATAAATTTTGTTTACTAATAAGAGAAATTTGATTTCAATTGCTAATTGTTGCCGAATTGTTAGAATATTAAAATTTTACATCACAAAATCACACAAGCGCATTTCGTAGCATACTTATAGGCGATTAGTATACCCATGTGTCTACGTGTGCTGCCGCTTATGATATTTATTTAATTTAATTATTACTAATTTGTTGTTGAGTAATTTTTGCATTGCTTGTGCTTTTAATGCGCTTTAAATGCTTGCAGCTTAAATGCACTAAATATTTGAATTTAATTAATTAGATAGGACTGTAGGTGTATACAATGTTCTAATTAATGATAGTTATGGTAAGTATTTTTTTTTTTGCAGAAAAGGTAATTGAGTTAATTAAAAAAGTTTAGAAAATGTTTATACTACAAAAAAGTGGAACAATTACAAAAATAGAAAATGTCTATAAAAAATATATAAAATATTTAAAACTTTTATTAAAAAATCAGGAAAATTTTTTGCTTTAGTGCATAAACCGTAATGTAAATAAGCAATCGGAAAAATAAGGTAAAATTTTTCGAAAACAATTAAGAAAAAAAGAATTTAAATAGAATTTAATTCCTCATAAGTGCTTTGATTTTTTTTTTTTTAATTTTTTAAGGTTTTGTACAGTAAAAGCAATTGAGTTAATAAAATAGTATGTATATAAAAATCCTATGATGGAAAAACTCTAAAGGTTTAATAAAATAAAAAAAAGAGAAGAAATGAAAAAAAAAACAAATATGTAAAACATAGGTAGGCCCGCAGACATCTAAACAATCAGTAACTATAAATTTTAAAATTTTCTTAGATGTTTTTATATTTTTGTCTTCTCTTTTTTACATAAAGTAATAAATAATAAAAACAAATTATAGAGCAAACAGTGTGTAGATAATTTGCACAAAAAAAAAACAAAGAAAATATTTATTAAATTTTTCTTTTAACTAAGTAATGTTATGTATCACAGGTTTTTAAAATAAATATGTTACCATAGGTTTTTAAAAATTTCGAACCTTTTTTTTGGTTTTGTTTTTAGATAAATTGTAAACAGTGTAAAGACGCAAGCAATGTGAAATTTTGAACAAAAAATTCGAATACACCGACTCTTGCATATTCTCCTCTATTTCAAAGCTTTTGTTTCTGTTTGTTTTTTGTTAGTAAAAAATAATCAGCCTTATCGCTAATTCCACTGAATAAATTGTTCCCACAATTTAAACAGCAAAACAAAAACAGAAAAGGAAAAATGCTTTGTTTTTCTTTTTGGGAATAGTTTAAACGTCAATATTTTTTAAAAAAATTGTTAAACCAACAATTATCTAAATTGAATATTGATAATAAATCAAGCCAAAAAACGTGAATAGATTAAACGACGAAAATGTATGAATAAATTAAAAAAAAAATTTATTTAAAATATTTTAAAAATAGTTACATCCACAAATATCGAAAAAAATTGTTTAATGTTATAAAAAAATGTTATTAATTTTTAGTTTTTAAACTTATTTTTGCCCTTCAGAAAAAAAATATAAGCTAAATTTATGAAAAAATTAATGTCGAAACAGAAGAAAAAATAAATAAAAAATATTACAAAAATTAATTTATGCTCACAGACTTCAACAAAATCAGGAGAGAAGAGTTTTAAAACTTTTCTTTAAAATACACCGTTTCTTTTCGTTTTTTAGACAAAATAATCGAACTCAAAACTGTAATTCAGCAAAATTTCAAAAGTTTTAACAAAAAATTGCGAAAGTTTTTATAAAAAAATGGAAAAATAATCCAACGACAAAACTTTGGGCTCAAAGGTATTAATAAAAATTTGAACAGTCGATAAGATTTGCTGGCTTTTCAATTTGTTCACCCTTTTTAAGAAAAAAATTTAGATTAGTTAAGCCAGAAATCTAAATTTTTGTAAAAAATAAGAAAACAGGTTCTTAAAAAAATTATGAAAAAATAGTTACACCTACAAATATCTGAAATGATGCCTAAAAATTTTATTTCTTCTTTAATTTCTTAAAATGGTTTTTGTCTTTCAGAAAAACTTTTTAAGCTTAATTTGAGTAAAATTTAATGCGGAAAAAATTAACAAAAAAACTATAATATAAAACACAAAAAACAAAAAACATGAATAAAAAGTATATTTATGCCCGCAGATATCTAATAAAGACAAGACAAAAAAATGTTAAAACTTTTCTCTAAAATCGTCTGTTTGTGTTTGCTTTTTTTTCAGAAAAAATAATTCCACTAAAAAATTTAATTTTTGTTTATTATTTTGCATTATAGGAAAAGCAACTGGGCTAATAGAACCAAAAATTCTGCGAAAGTTACTTGATAAAAAAACGTATAAAAAAGTGAATAGTTAAAGCAAAACCTATATATTTTATTTTTTTGCAGAAAAACGTATCGAGTTCACTGAAAATTTTTTTGGGAGATTGTAAAATTTTCAGAAATATTTTTCATGTGGTTTTGTTTTTTTTTGTTAGAAAAATGTGTTGAGCTCATTAGCATTATTGAGTTATTAAAAACTTCTGAAAAAAAATGTATTTCTCCGCCGGCAGAAGCTTAAAAAAATGTTGATTTTGCAACATTCCATCAAAGCTATTTAATAAACTCTTTTTCTGCCAATTATTCTAAGTAAATACGTTTGTGTCACTCCAACCGTCAGCCACCGCTCAGATATTTGTTCAAAAGGCGCACATCGCCTTGCTACCATGCACCGCGCTACGTGACTATAATTAAATTTTCCGTTGAAATTATGGTAGCTGTCGCATATTGCATATTTTTAGGCGGCATAGCAAGCTAGTTAGTGTGAGATAAAAGCCACAGGGATTTACATACCTACATGGGAAGGCAACTGCATTCAAAGTGGCATGAAGCAATTGTATAAATATGTATGTACATATGTATAAATACATATCCTCAAGCATGTATATGTTAGCATACATATGTATATAGAATGTATATGCTTAAACATATACATATATATAAAGACCAAATGCATTTCGAAGGCCTTTCTCGCATAGCAATGGCATGCATCTCACTGTATGTATTTACATATGAGGCTCTGTGTATATCTAATTGATATGGGTGTACTCTTGTTGTGCAATTTGTGGTCGCAGCATACATGGGAGGCAAAATGCATGCTTTCGTACAAACGTACAAGTATTTATGTTTATTTGGGCGTACATATGTATATGTATATTTAAAAACTAGTAGCTGTCACAGTAGCATCATAAACATTTTACTAGTATTTCGCTTAAGCTCTCTGTCCTTCAACCGCCAATGTACCACTTTCTTTTTTTACCTAATAGTCCATTCTCATGTTTCATATTCATATCCATATTCATATTCATATTCATATTCATATTCAGATTCATATTCATATTCATTTTCATATTCATATTCATATTCATATTCATATCCATATCCATATTCATATTCATATCCATATTCATATTACCTACTTTTGCGCCACATACTATACATATATGTATGTATTCATATATCAGCCATCCTAATAGTTACGAGAATTTTTATCCGCCATGCATTTATTTGCTTTTGACTTTGCCAGCTTTGGTGTGCTAAAAATTAAGCCGCCCACTGCTTGCCCCACGCAAATTTAGATATAAAATTTGCTCATATTTTGCACGAAATTTGATTAAATAGCGAATTTATATTGACCGTGGCTGATGACAGACCATCGACCGCTTCAGGCAATGGCCACAAGACATCAAAGTGACAGCACATAAATATTTATGTTATTAGCTGGCATATTTTTGTTGACTCTCAGGAAAACGCGCTAACACTGCCAAAAAAAGGGCAGCTTTTATTGAATGTTCGAAAAATGAACAGAAATAGTGTTTCAATTAAGCCATGCAATAGTGAGAATTCAGAAAAGGCACCAAATAATGCAGAAAAGCTCCCCATAATTAAAAAAAAAAAATTGGAGTACTGAAAATATTCAAACGTATAATAAAGGAGCCTAAAAGTTCCCGGAATAATACCAGAAACGTATAGATGGGTCTCAAAAAATCAAAACAATTCCAATAGACTAAAAAATATCAAAAAACGCTTCACCACCCAAATTTTCTCGAAAAATCCGGAAATGTCCAGAAAAGGACTTGAAATTGTCGAAGAAGTTCTAAAGTCAAATCATTGTAAAAAGTAAAATCATTGGAAAAACACCGGAAATATAACAAAAGTGCCCAGAAAATCTCCAAAACGAAACGAAACATCCACAAAAGCCCGGGAAAATTATCACGTAGGACTGAGAAAATTTGAAACACAAAAACAAAGTGAAAGGAAAAAGCAGAAATATCTTGAAAAATATGTAAAGAGGTCGAAAGGTGCTAAAAGTCGAAAAATTCGGAAAAGTCCAGCATTATCTCCAAAAGAAATTTCGAGGGCAGCCGATAAATATTTAAAAATAAAAAAATTAATTGGAAAACTGCTAGAAAGGCCGTAGAAAGATACCAACAAGTAGTGAAGAAATTCCTAACGGTCTTCGACGAAGCTAATAAAAAAAACCGTAGGTCCAGAAAAGACGCTCAAAATAACCGAAAAATCTCGAAAAATTCTAAGAAATACTATATTACTTTTAAAGCAACCGAAAACAGGCATAAAAGTCTCCGAAAATTTTTCAAATCAAAACGAAAGAGTCCCAGAAGATCCCGAGAAAGTGCCTCAAAATGCTGAGTTTGGTGCTAAGGCGTCAGAAAAACTCCGAAAAGCCACGAAAAATTCTAAAAAAAAATGTACAAAACACCGCTGAAAAATTCAGAAACTTCCCGAAACTTACGAAAAAAGCTCCGCAAATCCCAAATTATTTTAAATAATGAAAGATAAGAGCCCAAAAATTACTTCAAAGCGTTGAGCTAATACCAAAAAGCCGCAGGCGACTGATAAAATTCCGAAAAACTTGACGAATTCCGAAAATTAAAAAAAGTACAGAAAACTGCTTAAAACTCCAGAAGTGTTCGAAAGCTCATACAAAAAAAAAAATTAAGAAGATGAGCCAGGGTGGTGGTCTCAAACCGGTCAGCTAATACCGAAAAGCCTCAGGTGACCGATAAAATTCAGAAAAATTGTGAAAATTCACGAAAACTTCCAAAAAAAAAGTACAGACAACAGCTGAAAAAATCCCGATCTATCTCGAAAACTCACAAAAAAATGTTCAGAAAATTTACGGAAAATATCCAAAAGAGCAGAGGAAATCTCTAAGAATACGGAAGGCCAGAAAAGTGCCAAAAATTCTCAAACGATTATTGCAACTTTCTAAACAAAGCCCTATAAAAAAATCCGCAAAAGAGAGAACAATCACCAAAAAGGTCGCCAAATAATACAACTAATCCCGTTAGAGCCGCAAAAATTTTCGGAAAACACTGAAAATTTTGCAAGTGGTTTATACTTTATTTTTTATGAATAAGGCCTTATGTACATATATACATATATCAGCTCTGATCCAGTACTCTATGAACTTACAGGGTTTTATACAAATTTGCAGGAAGTTACAGGAAAAATGATCCCATACTCCAAATTCCTCCAAAATCCTGTAAATGAGAGCGATTTTTGTAGAGTTGTGTAGAGAATGAAGTTGCAAGATTTTACCCGAACTTTTTCTTCTGGTAAAATTATGAAAAGTGTCAAGCGATCACTGGTTAACGTTTTTACAGGAAAAATGCTTTTTTTGATCCCGTAGTTTTTGTTGTTAGACACTTTTTATCTCACTTCAGAGATTAATTTTGTTGTTTGACATTTTTAGAGGATTTTACACGAAAAGTATTGGATCAGGGCTATGGTTTCATGCAATAGCTCGTTTAGGTTCATGATGGACTCACTCAAATGAACTGATTAAAAATAAACATGCCGAATTTAGGTTCTCGAAAGTTTTGAGAAATTCAAGGGCGAAAAAAATAGTTTTCTAGTGGCTAGAAGGGATTGCATATTTTCGTGCGTGAAAGTTTGTTTGTTTTTTTTTCACGCACCCTTCGAATAACAATCTATATGAATATTTTGTCTACCAACTAAATTCTCCGATTTGCTTTCTACTTTGAAAGTTTTTTATAAAAACTATGCAGAAACTTGCAAGTATGTGTGTTCTACAACTTTTTTTCACAAATACGCATACTCACTTGAATGTATCTCTGCTGAAATTTTTGAAGATATTACACTCAGGATGCTCCAACAAGCGGAATGCTATTGAACAATGATGATTTTCCAGCGGCGAGATGTCATTATACCTGCAAGCAAAGGCGATATGCAAATTGAAAAATAATTGAAGAAACGAAGTTGTTAATGAATAGAGACATGGAATGCAAACAGACAGTCGTTGACAGAGCGAGAGTACGAGAAAGCGGAACGTGTTAATGAGGCATTGCAAAGCGGGGCAAACTCACGAAGCCATTGCAGCAGCAGCAGTAGCAGCAGCAGCAGCAGCAGCCATGACGATTGTAGCCAAATAGGCAATTGAAATGCANAGGAATGCAAACAGACAGCCGTTGACAGAGCGAGAGTACGGGAAAGTGGAATGTGTTAATGAGGCATTGCAAAGCGGGGCAAACTCATGAAGTCATTGCAGCAGCAGCAGTAGCAGCGGCAGCAGCAGCAGCCATGACGATTGTAGCCAAATAGGCAATTGAAATGCAAAAATCTCGCTAGCAATGCAAATACAAAGTATGAGTACGCATACAAAGCCAAAGCTACATTTGTGTGTATGTATGTATTTGCAAATGTCAATCACTGCAATCGAGGCAATGAAATGAATGTTAATGCAATGCTGCGCCACAAGGTAGGCAATAAAAATGCTACNAAAAATCTCGCTAGCAATGCAAATACAAAGTATGAGTACGCATACAAAGCCAAAGCTACATTTGTGTGTATGTATGTATTTGCAAATGTCAATCACTGCAATCGAGGCAATGAAATGAATGTTAATGCAATGCTGCGCCACAAGGTAGGCAACAAAAATGCTACAAGCCACTACATCAAGCGCTGAATGCCATCAGATCGAGTGCTGATGAAGATGTAGATATGTATGTATGTGTGTGAGTGCTCGGATGTATATATTTGCATTAGAGAAATGTGTAGGGTTTGGAGACTCACATTAGAACATAGAATCCTACCTCTTGTGTATATGAATTAGTGTAATTGTATGACTGCATTGCTATCAGCCAACTAGATGTATGTACATACCTGAGTGCCAATTCGGTGCGCGCATTTATCTGATAGATATTATTGTAGCCTGGATGATCGAGATCATGACAAATGCAGGACACTAGCAATATTAGGCATTCTAGGTCACCTAGTCGTTGCAGCAGATTGGCATGGCGGGTTATGGCGTACATCTGGAATGGAATGGAAGAAGAATTTTTGTTTTTTAATTGGTACTAATTTTACAAATATTTACAATAATATATGTATATGTGGAAGGCTCGAACTTAAAAATTGAGATTTTATTGAAAAAAAATACACCGAGCCCTAACCGCCAAAGAGACGTAAGCGAAATTTAAAAAATAATAATAATTTTTGATGCGGAAATGCATTTAGATGCTCTAGGAACATTTCTGCATAAAAAGAAAATTTTGAAAAAATGTCGCTTACGTCTTTTTGGCGGTTACGGCGCGACATATGTACATATACATATATTTAGTACATAAAAAAAAAATAGATATTTGCAAACGAAAGCATTTAGAAATGTGGAAGTTTGAGGGTGAGCAAGGCCATGACAGAATGAGTGAGTGCATGAGTGAATGAGTGAGTAAATGAGTTAGTAAGTTTATGAGTGAGTAAACGAGAGAAATAGTGAGTGAGTGAGCACATAGGTAAATAAAGAATGAACAAATCAGTGAATGAATGAGTTAGTTAGTGAATAAGTGATAGTTTGAGTAAATGAGTGAGTGAATACATGTGTTAGTGAGTGAGTGAGTGAGTGAGTTAGTAAATGGCGGCATGAGGAAACGAGTGTGAATTAGTTTGTAAATAAGTGAGCGAGCGAATGAATTCACTCTGAAAATGTTTGTACAGCTGAAATGCAGTGGTCTTATGACAGGAACTAATGTAGGAAATATTTTCTTAAGAGGGTTGCCACCTCATTAAGAAATTATATTCAGTTGGATTAATAACGTAAATGTAAATTTAATATCACAATATGGGTTTCAAATGAAGAGTTATACGAAGGTCTTTCTTTAAATAAATTTTAAGAGCACTGCCAACTATTTTCAAAGCTAGCCTCTATTTAATTAGTACGGCAAATTAAATACATAAATATAGGTGTCAAATGAAAGGGTTAACTGGAAAGTATTTTGAAAAGCGTTGCCACCTTTTTTAAAATCAAATGAAAAAATTAAAGAAAATTAACGAAATATTATATTTATATATGAAAACATTTTTTAAGGGCATAGCCATCTGTTTCAAAAATGAAATGCAATTTTATTATTAAGTTAACTTAAATGCTACATACGAAATATGAAACGAAAAGGGTTTGAGAAACCTTTCGCCACGATTGAAATGGAAACCAGGCATACAAATGCGTTCTGAAGGTTTCAAAAATCCTTTAAATAAGAAATAAAATTATAATAAATGTGACTAAAAAAATTTTAAGTAAAAAATAAATCGACATAATAAAAACAAACAAAAATTTTAGTGGAACAAAAGTTTTAGTTCTCATAGTTCTCTGAAGCAATTGAGAATATGTATTTCTGCACTCAGGAAAACTGACTTTAGAAGAAAACCAAGTAACTTTCAACGAAGACTATTTGTGCAGTAATCTTTTTCAACGCCTAACTCATTCAAACATACTTCAAAAATTAAATTAATTCCTGGCCTTGAGCGAAGGAAAGGATGTACTCGCGTATAAAAACAAAAAAAAAAACTATTTGAAACATTTGGAACTTCAATAACCACTGGCTCTCCACACAAATCTTCTTCAGCCAAGCCAATGCCAGCAATCTAAATGCAAATTTAGTTAAACTTTATGTAAACACAACTTAAATGACCTATTTTACATGTGTGAGCAACTAAAGACTTGCGTACATACTCAGACGTAGATATGTATGTATGCATTTGTAAGTAGAAATTTCTCTATTCCTGTGCTTAAGTAAATTGATATGCTTATGTGTGTGTGCGTCGAAAAAGTTGTTTGAATATTGAATAGTTTAGGCAAACAAACTTTGATCACACACAAGATGCGGCTGTTCAAAACTTGAGTGCTGTCAATTGGCAAGAGTTTATCTGCATTGCTCAAATACTTACGTGCATACATAGCATTAATCAGCATCCCTGCAGGAAAATTATTCTTTTCTTTTACACGAGAGTTATAAAATTTATTGTATTCTAAAACTTCCGCCGAAATATTTCAAACAAATTTTAGATTTAAGTGAGCTGGACCGATTTGAAAATAGCAGCAAAAATCTCATGGTTTTGATTCCGCTGATAACAGTTTTAAACATTGGTTGGCAGAACTCTTAAGCCTAAACTTTTTTATCACTTGCGGTGATTTAAAAAAAGTGTGTTTTTTTAAAACAATTTTTATTTATGTAAAACTAAATTTTTGTAAATCTTAAATCTGACATATTTTGGTGGAAGTCTTAAAATATAATAAATTTTATAATTCCGATGCAAAAGCCGAAGCGAAAGAAAGAAGCGAAATTTATCAAGAAAGAAAAAGGTGCGTGTACAATTTTCGCGGTCAACTATGTTTGGGCAATGATCCTGAAGGGTTAGTCCTTGGCCAGGTATAAATCTATGTTAACGCGTCTTTCTTCGCCGTGAACAAGGTTTACGCGCCTTTCTTCGCCGAAGTTTTTTCTAAGCGTCTTTTATGTAAATCTTGTTTTCTTGCGTCCTTTATCGCCGCCTTTTTTCGTGTCTAGTGACGATATGCCTGGAAACATATGTGCCAATATTTGTAGCAGTAACCGAAAATAACAGTCATTAATGAAAAACTGTCATTGAAAAATTCACTACGAAAAATTCACTATGAGAGAGAGGGAGAGAGAGAGACAACAACAATAAGTGATATATACCAATCGATTTATTTTTTCAACGAGTATCAAATTTCAAAATAAATTTTTATTTATAGTTATATGAAAAATTAAAAAAAAAATAACAATTATTTTAGATTTTTATTTTAATCCAAAATAACAATTATTTTTACTTTTTATCCAAATAATTTGTAAATAAGAGTAATTTTTGATTTTTATATTATATGTCTTAGATAACAGTTATTCAAGACTTTTATTTATAAAAATCATTAATAAATATCAGTTACTGTCTTTTATTTTTTAAGTCATGATGGCTTTTATAAATAAAAGTCTTCAATAACTGTTATCTAAAGTATATAATTTAAAAATCAAAAATAACTGTTATTTGCAGATTATTTAGGTANTATTAATAAATATCAGTTACTGTCTTTTATTTTTTAAGTCATGATGGCTTTTATAAATAAAAGTCTTCAATAACTGTTATCTAAAATATATAATTTAAAAATCAAAAATAACTGTTATTTGCAGATTATTTAGGTAAAAATCAAAAATAATTGTTATTTTGGATTTATAAAATAGAAACCAGAAAAAACTGTTATTTAAGGAATAATTAAATAAAAGTCAAAAATTAATTGTTAAAAAGCGATTTTTTTTAAATAAAGTTGTAACTGCTACGCTCCTTGATTTTTAGATATTTCGCTAACCATTAGTCGAATCTAGGTGCCACCAAGTGGTGATACATCCTACGAATTGCTCGGATAAGCCAGCCGCCTCAAATTTTTACTAAATCTAATTTACTCTAACTCATGAGCAGCCCCACAAGAAAAAGTTTCGTTTATACGAAAGTCATTTTAAAGCTATATTATCAAATCGCTTTTCCCTTTCACTATGTCATCAGCCTAAGCTCGTTATAAAGCTTTATATACGCATCGTTTTTAGCGTTTATTCTGTCATCAACTTCGCAGGTAAGAGAAAAAAAATCTGAATTTGGTTTCTGATAGCTGCATTTCCTACAGGGGCTCATTAAATGAATATATCTTGGCTTTGTTATCACAACGTATGTATATTTCAGATCGACTGCATTCTCGCGCTGACTACGGTTGTCGCACACTATGAGTGCTATTTAAATAGTTTTTCTACTGGTTAAAGCAAACATTTTGGTAGCACTAACGAAGTACGAACTTTTGAAACTTTTTATTTGTAACACGCAATGCATTCTACCCAATTCCATTTAGTCGCTTGTAAAGGCGTCTGACAAAGAATTTAGTTTTAAATGTAGCCGAAGCTTTGCTCGTGGGCAATGCAATTTAAGTTGTATTAGTTCTGTATTTGAAAAAAAGTGTTGTCGGAAAATATTGCTAAAATTTCAACTCGACTAATCATTGACCTTTCACATGGAGATAACAGAGACGACGTAGTAAAAGTACAAAGCGCGCCAAAATACGCAAACTGAAAACCTCAACTATTTCCAACTTCCCTTTTTATGCCCACAGTTTAATCTCAAACATCCAATTAGCGGTGTGGCTTACACCAACTTTCGCTAGCAAAAAACTAAAAATGTGTAGTTGTGTAAACAAGATTGTTATTAAAAAAAAAAAAAAACTAACCATACCAAATTTTTTTCATACAAAAACGACCGCTTACTACAGACTAACTTCTTCGCAGTTGCTGGTCAATAACATGTCTGTGTATGTTAGTTCGTTTTATCAACCTTGTCGCCAATATTGCTGCAACATGTTGCGGTTGTGGTCACTTGCACGTCAAAATGTTCATTAACTTTATGGCGCCGGCTAAAAGCCAGTCAAAGCTGACCATATTTTCATTGACGCTTCCGAAAGTGAAACTTTTATGGTGTTTGCAAATTTTTTTATAAATGTTGTAGTAATGAATGACTAGTTTTTATGATTTTCATATTGTTGAAGTTGCTGAAGTTTTCTTAGGTAGTTTGGCACTCAACTATACTTGTATATTAACATTATCATTTTGAAAGATAAACCACACCAAGGCGGCATTTTATAGTAAAAAACCAAGATCGTTTAAATTAAAAAAAAAAAATTATTTTACTATTTGGAGTAAGAATACTGACAACAAATATAACACAGAATGTGTAAGATTTTTTACTATCGTCTTCTTTTTAACAGGAAACAACAGCTATTTATTTATTTTTTTGACCTGGTAGCTTCCAAGGATACCGCAAAGGTCCTAGAAAATGTTGAAAAGTTTGAAAGAAACTGGAAAAGTTTTAAAGTCACGAATATTTAGTTATGAAAAAATTTAGAAACCTACAAAAAAAAAACAAATTGAAAACATTCCAAAAAAAGTCAAAAGTATCTTAGACCCAAATATTTTGAAAAAAAAAACAT